ACTCTCCTTAAAGGTGGTAGTCTGCAATGCAAGTTTAATTTCTGTACACGTACACATACAGTTATTTTAGAGCTCAGCTTCCCTTAGTCTCAAAGGAAAGCTCTATTTCATGAGTCCTGATTAGGAGTTATTTCTGAAACTATGTTGCCACCATCTGGACAAACTGAACCTGTCAGCTATTACTGGATGTTAAACCATAAAAACTCCCAGAGGAGAAAACACCTTCTCAGTGCTTTCATTTTAATATTCTAAATAATTAATTCTCTCAACATTTGGTAACAAAGTCATTAATCCAAATTCGAATGCTGAGTTTTTTTACCTGAAAATAGATGCCTCTAATTAAAACATGTATAAAAGCTATCCACCAATGCTTAAAAAGTCCAGTTTGAACTTCTTTTTTTAATATGCACCATTAATCAGTATAATGATCTACAATGCTTTATAATTACTTTATATATGTTTCATACCATCAGGATCTGTTTCTGCTTCTTCCTTGGGTTTCATTTTTGTTAGCAAGAAAGGTAATTGTCAAATGGAAAGTGTTAGTTTTAACCTCAGAAGATAAGCTTCAGAGAGGAGATGTTTTCCTTCCATAAAGCGTTACAAGAATGCTTCAATCTAGTCTTCAGCAAATCATATTTCAGATATTATGGTATTTTACAGCAAATTTTGAAAGATAGTAGAAATTCTGCTCTACACTTCCGATGCACAGGAAGGTAACAGACTATATAAAATAGATCAATCAGAATTCCTCCAATCCCAATGAATTATATTTTTTATTCACTAAAAAAATGTATACGTTTCTATCAAAGTCAAGACAAGCTACACAGTTCCTGTAATTGAGTAATTACAATCTTCTTAAACAGATTCTCCCTTATTTGCACATTTCTGGCTTTTCATAATAAACTATATCCCAGATAAAGATCTTTTATGTGAATGTAAGCAAGTATTCCACATGAAAAGGTTTGCCACAGAAATTTGCCACTTCTGCCTCACAGTACTGACAAGAATACTGAGAAACAAGTCTTACATACCAGCTTCTATCTTAAAGCTCAGATCATATCACAGGCTCAGGCAACACATGTCCCTTAATGCAATGTTTATGTAACACATACAGACTTAGATACGGAATATTTCATGTCTTCCTGCTACTCCTGGTAAGCTGCAACTCCAAGCCGAGTCTAACCTTGGTCGGTTGTTTCATACAGGGAAATGCTTTAAGCTTTTAAACCCATCTCTTGTTGTTAAATGACTCTTCTAACTCCCACATGCCAGTACTGCACAGATTGCTCATTTCAAACGAGTCTTTTTAACAAACGACAGTACAAATTAAGAAAATGAAGAGTTTAAATATAAGTTGTCTGAAAAAATCTTTAGAAAAGATAAAAAGTACAAAACTGACCTAAAGCATTCAGTGACTTGTAGCAAGATATACAGCAAGAAAAACTACATTGATAAATCTGGGCTGTTTAGAAAAATGCTCGTCTGTGATACTGAAATGAGCCATTAATCCACTACCCATCTGTCCACACCCACCTATCACATCCAACTGACGACTGAAGAGTTATCTTAGATTTAATGGACTATGCTGAATGTTTGTCTCATAACAAGCAAATAGCAGTTGTAATATTTAACCATTTTCATCACTTACAACTAATCCTGCAGGGAAAAGAAAAAAAAAGCAAAACCAAAACATTTGCATAATGTTATTAAATAGTCACTTTTTCTACAAATGACCCTACCTTATTCAAATGTTGATGGGTTGACTTTTCTCTGAAGATGATTTTCTTTCCTGATAAATATCACACAATGTGCCTTCAGTTCTGCTGCATCTGAATTTCCATACTTTGAGAAAATTAGCTACTCTAAATCTCACTAATTATTTTCTACTTCTGTGGGCAGAACCATTCCTTTGGAGTCCTTCAGAGTCTCTCCCCTGTACTGAAGCTCATAATTTTCTCTCATTTTCTTTTCTATTTCTTGCATTGCCTTCTCCTACTGAATCTACTAACTCCTCATTCTTCCAGTTTAGGAATTTTTGACACTTGTCTCCTTCACAGGAATTAATACAAGCAGCCTCAGAACTGCTTTGTCTTACATCTTCCTTACTTTCCATTCCAAATTGTTCACTCAGGGGAACTAAGAAACCCTCTTCAGGCACATATTTTTGCCATTACTTTCAGACCTTTGCAAAATAATGCAAATAGCTGCTAAAATCAGAACCTTCGCATGCCACTGAAGTCTGGAAACCACAGTGATTCCCCAAACTACAAATACATTCAAGTTGCTAAAAATAATATAATAATACAAGAATTCAAATACCGTCAAAATTAGAAGTGCAAGACATTTGAGTGGAAACCAGTAGAGGCTGTCTCCATGTAAGCTGACTACATTCTAATTTTGACTGAGACATACCAGATCTAGGATACTTCTGAGACTACACCAACAGTGTGATTTGATTCAAGGTAGTTAACTCTACTTATCATGTCAATTTGGATCTCAAAATAGGTTGTGTGTACAAATTGTTGCTATTGGTTTGGTTATGGTTTTTCTGTTTGTTTGTTGGTTGGTTTGTTTTGCTGTTGGTTTATTTTAAAGATGGAATCCTCACTTTTGAAACATTTCAAAATCTAACAAGATACTGGATGCCAAGACAGTATGGTGGCCAAGTGTGCATCATTTTACACTTCTTCCCTCTCCTCTCCCCCTCCACTTGCAAACTTCAAACTACGCATTCTGCAGACATTTAGTTCTGAGAAGTAGACAGAATGTAGTAAGTAACTCTGAATGACATGTTGAAAAACTTGAGGAAAAATCAAAATTGACCACTTAGATCCATTGATCCGCCTGTTTTGCTCCTTACTAACGTAGACAAGGCCCAGCATTCAAGGGAGCTGTAGAACCAGGACTGAGTAAGGAAAAGAACAACTGAAAGACACAGGGCATCAATTATTTGCATCACAAGCTCCATGCAATTTTATTCTAACCTCCATCAAAGATCAGCACAGACCAAAGAAAGCTGGCAGAAAGCTTTTGCTTAAAACACATAAAGACACAAAATGCTGTTTGCGTATCTTTTCTTGCCCCCAGCTGAAACTAGAATCCCTCTGCCAGTCTGAAAAAAAGGCAAGCCCCAGGCCTGGGTCTTGAGAAAAAGCAGCAGCTGTTTGTTTTGCATGGTTTTAACAGCTTATTTAGTCAGGTGCAGTACAAAGACAGAGGAAAATTCAGAAATAACAACAATAATTCAGCAAACCCACACTGTAACACATAAATCACTACTATAAACACAATGTGCAAGAGTCTTTAAAGGATATATAAAATGCAGATTTCACCAGCTTTAGCCAGACTTGGAATCACCGAGTTTATAAGAGCCAGCCCTTACTGCTCAATTTAATCTCTCAAGAATTATGCTCATTACTTCTATTTTAAGAAAAAAAGTCAGAAACTCAAAGGATACCAGGTATGACCTATTCTTAGAACCACTGCAATTCTTCAGTAAATTTAAAAACTTCTCCTATGCTCCTGTCCAATAACTATGTCCTATCTTCCTACTCTCTTACTGCTACTGCAATTACAATAAAGTTCTAAATACAGAGATTAATCTTAAAGCTTCAGAAGAGAGCTCTCAAGGTGAAACACCCACTTGCAAAAGTTCAAGATCTAGAAAGAACAGCCAGTATTTCCAGTAAAGCAGGTCCCTCTGATCTGTAAATTAAGGCTGACAGTAAAGTAATTTCAGGACCATAAACAAAGAATCTGGTTGTAGGTTCTACTCCTGTCCATAAGCAAGAAGGTTCGACCATACAATGGAGCTATTTATCTGTGTCTGAAACCACGAACCTCTTTAAGGATATTTGTTCATTACTTGGCGCTGTCACCGTCTGAAATATTTCTTCCCCACATCTCATTAAATCTGAAATTTACTGGATTTCAGCTATCGCTATATTGGAATGCCAGGTATCTATGCTTTGACTGATAAGCAAGCATAAACCGTTGCAGTGTATTTACTCCTCCAACTCTTGTGGTTTCTGTTTCGACTCTCTTTTCCACTCAGCCTAACAGATGAAGATTATCTGAGTAAGAAAAGTTTTCCGTTTGTGAACTCCATTCTATGAAGTCCTCTGAACAGGAATACAAATTTGTCCAGAATACAGACCATTTTCCTTATAATCCTTTTGTACATCTCTCAAAGTCACCATAAGCTGCAAGAGGGAAGTCCAAAAGCTGAAAGAAAAGCAGAGAAAGCTTGGAATTGTTCCACTGTCATTGTAACCAGGAGGATTCACACACAGCCAACAAGGACATACTCATATCACTCTTCCAGATGCCAGTCCAGCAGATGTGTTCAATATCACTGCCAGTCCTTCAAAAAGCGTGCAACAAAACCAATCAGAGAACTGATAAGATGCAGAACTGGAAACGTTATTTGTGTCAGAAGGGGAGATGTGTGCCTGCCCTTGCACTTCAGGAACGACACAAACCTTTAGAACTGCAGCCTCACACCTCATGCTTCTGATCCACCACACCACGGGGCACAGGTCTGCATGAGGAACAGCCACGTAAAACACACCTAGTACAGCAAGTGGGTAAGAAAGGCTGTATAGGAAGAGGCGTGATGGCTGTAAGCACTGCAGCACGTGCACTCACGATCCTTAGACGCCTCTTTGGTTAAATGACGCGGAGCCGTGCAGCGTCCGCGCAGCGCGATGTGAGGACACGGTGCAAGCACACCGAGGTTCCTCAAACCGAAACGCGGCGTTCTTCAAACCAAGTCACGGCCCGCAGCCGCCCGCCGCCCCTCACAACCGCTCCGCAACCCGGGCCGAGGGCGGAAGGCGTCACTCTGCCCTGCGCTGCCCGGGGCGGTGCGCTCAGCGCGGGGCGGCGTTCCCTGCAGTCCCGCCCCGAACGCCGCACTGCTTGCGCTCTCGCGGGCTGCGCCGCAGCGCTCGATCCGGGTCCCGGCGAGGCAACCCGAGAGGAGACCCCGTGCGTACCTGCGCCGGTCTGGTGCTGAGGCACGCGGTAGTACTTGTTGCCGAACTGGTCGGTGCCCACCAGCTCCTTCTCTGGCCCCAGGAGCCGCAGGCGCAGGGCCCGCAGCGCCTGCCAGGCGCGGCCCATCCCTGAAGCGAGCACGCGCACACCGCCGCCGCCCGCAGCGCGCGACCCCCGTCCACGGGCAGCTCCGCCCCCGCGGCGCCAATCACGTGATCCTACTCCGTCAGCTCCTCCCGCTCGCCGGCGGGCATGCCAGCAACACCGCTTGCAATTGGCGGAAGCCTTCCTACCTCCAGCCAATCCCGGCCAGCACAGGCCCAAGATGGCGGAGCGGTGCCGAGCGGCGGCGCCGTCCTACCATGTTGGGGTTTATTTCGGCTCGTCAGGCCGGACTCGACGATCCCTCGCGGCTGCGCCGGGCTGAGTCCACACGCAGGTAGAGAGGCCTGCGGGGAAAGAGGCTGAGGCTGGCCTGCGTGGGGCGGGCCCGCAGCGGCTGCTTCACGCTCGGGGCAGCGCTGACCTGAGCCCTGGGCCCGACCTGAGCCCGGGGCCCGGTGCCCGGGGCCGTCCTCTTCTCTCCTGTGCGCGAGCCGAGGGCCGGGCTCTACCCCATCGCCTGCACCGGGAGCGGGGCGAGGTGGGGCGAAGCGGGCGGCAGTCCTCCAGCGTGACCTGGCGCCATGCCCGGCAGGGGCCGTCCTGTACACGCCGGTACTCATCCGGGAAGGGTTCGATAGGATTTGTGTTGGAAGTTGGGAATTGCCCCGGGGTAGGCGGATGAGTGGTGTGTGACTGAGTTGGATACAGACGACGATAAGGCGCTGCGCAGTGCCACTCGGTTCTGCCTCACCGCGCTCAGAGGCTCTTTCTACTGATGTGTGACTGTGCTGTGTTTCACGAAAAGGCCAGACCTAGGTGGTGCTTGGGCTCACGCATCAGCTCGACCCCGTTTTTCCCATAAGCACACCTGCTGGCTGCTGACAAAAGAGTTGGATGCAGGACTGTTGTTAGGTTTGTAAAAGCTTTTCTGGAAAATGGTGACTGAAGAGAGGGGCTTATTAATACAACTGTCAAAGACAGTAATGTAATGATATTTGGTCATTAGTAAAGAATCTGTTTTGCAGCTGTTCTTCAAGATGAATTAGGTAAAGCCAGTCTCTGTGCAGTTGCTCGCAGCATCTGCAGCTGGAAGGATTTGTGTTGGATCCACACACGAAGGTTGCCGTGTGTTTACTTGTGTATTTGCCTTCAGTTGGAATTTTGTGACTGCATATAAAAAGAATCTATAACTTAAATAGATTATCAATAATAAAGTATGCAATTTATAGTTGTAATTGGTGGAATTGCCCTAATTCAGAAGGCTCATTTCTGGTTTGTGCTGTATCATGATAGGTACTTTGTGCCCCTTCAGCTTCTGCGTAGCATTCAATGTTGAGAAAAAAGCAAAATAGGCACAGTTTATATTGCTGAAAAAACCGCATACCTAACATTTTTGCCTTCTCTGCATTTTCATTTTGAATTAATAGAAATCGCACATCATCTTCAATAGATTTAAGGCACATGACTTGAAATGTAGTTCCAAAACATTTAATTAAGGCGGGGTATTGCTCCAGTCTTGAGCTCAGAAATTTTAAGTATTTTGTGAATATCAAAATTCTCACAATTCTATTCTATTCTACATATTTTGAATTAGCTTGAAGCATTCTGTGCATACTGTTCATCACTCTACCTCTAACAGTTCAAGCTTCCCACAAAAAGCATTGCGAGATATTAGAATGTCTTCTGATCACAAGATCAGGAAACTATTGGAAGCTCCACCATGTGGATAGTGTAGGTTTTTTTCTTTATACTGAAGAAAGTATAGCACACAAAGTAGTAAACACACAAAGTAGTAGTAAAAGAAAATAGTGAGATTTATTAAACTAAATAAGTTTGTCCACTAGGTGTCCATAGTTCCAAGGAGGAGTGATGGTACGTATTGAAGCTTGCAGATAACTAATATTTGTCACAAAAATGACAAATACTTCTTGATGTTTACCCTATCTGTATTTTTTCAAACAACTTTCTTGTTTTGATGCTTCATGTATTGACCTCAAATGCAGTTTTGATATTCCTTTGAGCCTGTCTTACATATTTTCTTGCCTCTTAACTTCTGACAATACTGATGATAAAACGCTTTTTCTACCAAACTTTTAATTTTGTTATGTGTCTCTGTAAGTTTACTTTGCAAGAATAAATAGATGGGATGTTAGATGCACTGAGGGAGGATGAGACCATGCTTTGCACTGTGTAGAGTTATATAGTGATATCTTAAAAATCTGTTCATACTTTTCATCTCACTTTTCTGTTAATTTTTCTTCTATTTTTTTCAGAGTTCTAAGTTTAGAATTAAATAAAGATAGAGATGTGGAAAGAATACATGGCAGTGGTATTAACACCCTTGATATTGAACCTGTTGAGGGAAGATAGTAAGTATATACTTAAGTTTGGCTAAAATCACTTCACTACGTCTTGGCCATTATTTTATAGCTGAATCCTTAATTACATTTAGCAGGTTGTGGTCTTACCTTTTGTAACCCGTGTGTTTTATTTATACTTTCAGCATGTTATCAGGTGGCTCCGATGGTGTTATTGTTCTTTATGACCTTGAAAACTTGAGCAGAAAACCAAATTACACATGTAAAGCACTTTGTTCTGTGGGAAGGTAGGTTCTCAAAGAAAAAACTACTAAAAGTTAATATTTATATCCATTGTAAGACTAGCACCAAAGTAACAGATTAATATGCATGCTTATGTCTAGGATAAAGAGGCTTTATACTGGAAATATTTGGTGATGGCTAGCATTGCAGATTATGTTTCTGGCATAAAGAGAAAAATTGTAGAAGCTTTGCAAAGATATCTGTCGTTTGCTACGTAGCAGAAGTTACTTGTTATATCTTTGCAATGAGCATTTGTTAATATTGTTTGAGCAGGTCTCTGGCAGTTTCACTTTGGGCTGTGGAAATATTCCTTGCATTCCACAATATATGTATAATTCTGTGTATCTTGGAATAGTTACACGTTTAAACAAAGGAAAAATGATTTTGCGTAATTGTTCAGCAGAGGGAAAAACAATCTAAGGTTTGTAGTTGTTGGTTTTATTTTCATTCTCTCTGTTACTGGCTTTACAATTGCTTATTTTAAGTTCACCAGGTTAGCACCATGTTGTCTAATTAATACAGAACTTTTTAGGAATGTTTGAATGAGGACAGATGTGTTACTGACAAAAATGGGTCATATTTTCCTGAAGACCCAAGGTACTACCATGCTATTTGAAAGGATCAGTATAAAGACTCAAAACCATTGTTGCTGTGTGAGACCATTCTGCAGGTAGTGAAGATTTGTGGACTATTGGCTTTAAGTCTTCCAGCAAAATCTGTTTCTATTTTGTGCTTAGATTTTCTATTAGGTTAGGGATTTAATCTAAGAGTAACAATGATATATATCCAATTTGCATTTTCTCCTTGTGTTTTCCTAGCCTTTAAGTCATTTGAGGTTTAAGAACTTGGTGAATGGTACCAAGCACAAAACATATCTATAGCAGTAAGAGCCTCAGATTGGTATGTTGGGCACTAAGAAGAATAAAAAAAAAAAGATATATAGAACATGAAACAAACGCATAGGAACATAGTCTGCTGCACTTACCAAGTGTTGTGTGTGTGGCACTACTTGAAGAAAATAACTTAAAATTGTAATTAAGAGCTAGTAATGAATATGTATCCCTGAACATAGAAACAAAAGTGAATTCTGGGACAGAGAAAACCGAAGAAACACGTGCTGCTAACACACAGTGTAAGAAAAATGATTAATCTGTACTAAAATGATCCTTTGTTTCCTTATCAGTCTAGTCAGTTGGAGCCGTACTTGAAAATTCTATTTCAGTATGGCTAGTTGGCAGTCTGTCTCTTGAGTAGGTGTTTATTTATATAGATCTGTCTCTTATTTCTCATCACTTGTACAGAAGATTAAATCATAGTAGTAGAATCTTATTTCACACAGAACAATGTTCTGAATGATGTTGCTATTGTTATTTTTCAAAGTTACTGTAGCAAGGTTTATGCCTGAAGTTATTGTTATGCTTTACTCCAAGTATTTGTCTAGTTTCCTGGTATGTTTTAAATACTTACTGGAGCTAATTAGCTACGTATATAGCTTCAGATATTGGAATATTATCCATGTAGACTTCTGACACTATAAATGAATTTCTGATTACCAGTGAGAAATACTTTTGATCTGATTGTTTCTTATCTTTAAAATACATGATAATAACATGCAAAAAGTATTTGTCTGTGATTCAAGTTTGCAGGGCACAAAGCAACTCTGGTCAGGAAATTGCTTTAAGAAGAAGTTCTTGTTAGGTGTCCTGTGAGGATATTTCTGAGTAGATTCTGACCTGGGACAGCTGAGGGTCCAATAGTTTAGACTATTATTAGATTGCAACATACCTAATGTTTCTCACATAGATTTGGAGTCACCATTGGAATAGAAGTTTTCTAAATTTTTCCTTCCTTGTTCGGAGTCAGCTCTCCAACTTTTAGTTCCTTTCATATGATTCATGCTGTCATGTGGCAAAAACTGACATTTTGGAGTAAACAAACTTAACAAGCTTCTCAGCAACATAGCTGATGCTTCTGTAGGTCTTCTCTATTTGAAAACTGTCCAGGGTGAGTCAATATCAGTGACTTTACTGTCCATATAATTCATTCTGTATTTTTCTTACATTAAAAGGTTCGTATTTCCTTGCTAGTGTGGAAAAACACTGGATATAAAATGAATTAGAAAAAAATATACAGCTCTGAGAGATGAAGTGGAATGGCACCTGGCCACTACTAAGCCCAGTTTGATCAAAGGTGATTCCAACAGAGCTACTCAAGAGAGAATGTAGAAGAAATGATGATTTTGGTGTAGTGCTGAACACAGTCCAGTTTTGTACACTTGTATTTAATACACGAAGGTTGTAGTTCAATGAATTTAGTTTTTATTGGAAAATGAATTGGGATATTGCTGCATGGATTTGTTCAAATGACTCTATAGGAGTTAAGTTCATACTGAGTTGGGTTTGATTTCTTGGCATTAGAGGTACTGAAGATTTTTAGCTTGCTCCCCTGTGGAATAGGTGCTCAAAATCAGGGGATGCTGAGCATTGTGGCAAA